GAGGCTTGTCCAAAGGTCAATTGACAGCTTTTCTCATCTTGTTATGTTTTACTCCTTCTAAAGATGCAGAGAAAATGTTCTTTTAATGTACCAGACAGATACAGAGGCAGAAGGGAGTACGTGGGTAGAACATTTAAGGGCATATTATCCTCTTCAGCACACACTTCAATGCCAGGTGCCTACAGCTTCCAAATGGACAGCAGAAAATGAACCCCAGGATTCCATAAAGTCTCCGAGAGTCGATAATGTGAAAAGCAACCAATGAAGGAGTAAAGCGGTAAAACCATCTCCATTTACCACTCCTTGAAGTTCAGCATGCAGCAGACTGCACTTAAGCGCAGCAATCAACTGTGATAGGAGCATCCCCATTACAGTAAGCAAAGAAATAGCTTCAAGGCAGCGGATGACTGGGGAGAGGGTGCGGGGAGTGGAGAGGTCAGAACAGGTGCAGAGAAATAACAGGTGCAGAGAAATCCAGGAGGTAGAGACTGAAAGCTTGAACTCCATTTGGGTGACTGTTTAACTATCCCGGTCAATCATGAGAGATAAAGCTTGATTATTTCCTTTGTTTTGATGTATAATGCTTGGTGTAAACACACAGAAAATTTCAAGGCTCAATAAATCAGAATCAAGTATTCTTGATTTCTGATACTTTGGGTATGATATGGTTTGCTAACTGCAGAGAGTTTACAAAACATGTCTGCCAGGTGGTAAATCGCCAGATGGATTCTAATTTAAAGCTTCAAACATATTGGAGCATAGAGCTGTCACACAATACAAATGTGTAATATTATTGCTATCACTATGCAATCATTAATTCCATCTGACTATTCATGCCTCAGCATGATAAACCATTAACAAGCATGAAGTCTGGCTATTCTGAATCTGGACAAAGTCATCTTCGTTTAGAGCTATACTAGGAATATGTCATTTTGTTCATATATATACATTAGACTTCTATAACTGGATTTTACCTTATTTGAGGACACATACTATATTCTTATTAGGCACACAATAAAAGTGGTTGTTTTCTTGTATGAACAGCAGCTTTCAGTAATAATCTATGAACTGATTAGACTATTTCCAAAGGGACCAACCGAAATACATATGCAAATCATGAAATCCTGTATGGTATGCACAACCACATATATGAAATCAGTACTCTGTAGAGTTGTTTATTTCTTCACACCAGTCTATTTTTAAAAAAAAAAAAAAAATCACTGTTATTCCAATGTAACATTCCCCACCCAGCTTGGAGACATAGTTCCTGAAAATGTTCCTCCAGATAAATCTAACTGATGAACAAACACCTCATTAACTCAATCCGGAAGAATGAGGCTGGGGGTTCAAACACTAATTACCTTTAAATACAAGGGCAGGGCAGTGCCACAGCCTCAATCAACACCATTAACCTTGGCCAGCCGGACAAACACAATTCCAACAAGCTGGTATGGGGTGGGGAGGGAGGGAGTGATTATAGAATTTTAGATGGTTGCAAAGCTAATGTCTCATAAGAGAGGCCCAGCCGTGTACACGCAGACAACAGGTTCAACAATCACTGTCACACCTGGAAAGCGTCTTTGATTTATTTCACTAAACAATAAGATAAAGAAGAGGCAGCCCTAAGATACCACCACTTGCCTCGAAGTTCTAACTTGCAAAGTGCTCCCTCAACTGTGAAGAAGTCTTAATTACTTTGAAAGTCTCTAGGTTTTCTATTCTCTGTATTTACACTAAAGACTGTAAATGGTCCTGACCAAGTTTGTTCTGCCTGTCTGAATCACCCTCAGTGCAGGCAGTTTCTGATTTATGAGCGCAAAGCTGATTGTCTAACCTCTGGCTGCATATCCATTTCTTTTTATTGCCCAAACTCTGGACCATTGCTGATCATTATACCCTCATCAGAGGTCAAGAGGTAGAGAAGGATTGTGGCTGAAGGTTTGGTGGTGACATAAAAAATAACTACTCATTCAAACATTTTTATAGATTTTTATCACCTAAGTGATCCCATTACTCATTTAATAGAGATAATCACAAATGTTCAGATTTGCCTGGTGCCTTCAAGCCATCAGGCCCATCACACAGCTGAAATCGCATAACATCAAGCCCCACACTACTCCTGGTTCACTCCTCCTGACATCTGAACTCCACTTTCCACACATACCTAAGTGTCCCAGCATCTAACTTCACTACTCACTTCCCCTTCCGTTGCCTCGCCTTGTTCCTGAAGCTGAGACTTAGAATCCCTTTACTTCTATTTAGGGGCTCCCCTCTCCACAAGGCCAACAAACATACCAAGACTACACATCACCCAACCCTGCCCAGGCTTCAGCATCTTATGCCTGTTTTCCTGATTTATGAAAAAACTATTAGAAAGGCATACATATATATTTGAATATTCCCATGAATTGTCACTATAATGCTTGACTTGAGAACTCTGAGCACTGGAGTAGTTCTTATTTCACTTGTGAACCCTTAGAAATTGGCCCAGCATTCCTATTTCATATATTATGAAATTCAAAACCTGTTTTTCAGACATAAGTGACATAGTGGAAGTAGCAGCACTTGTAAGAAAAATTAATCCTGATTTGCACCATCTTGACCCACTGTCTACTGATCCTTCAGTGTCTTCTATGAGGGAGCCTATGTGATATATTCTATTATGAATTTATTACCAGAGATAACATTCCTCTCTTTACGAGTAGTAACATTTGATTATAAGATAAGAATTACATATCCTCTTGCGTTTTCCTTTTTATCTTGTCTGCCAGAAATCTTAGAGCTAAATTAAATGCTCATTCTCAGAAAACTTCTTGGGCTATGTGACTATGATTACTTGCCACATTCTCCCTTCAAACGTTTTATTTTCTGTTTTTACTTTATCAGCCTTATTGTGAGTCTACCTTTTATCATAAGCCACACCGTATCCTTTGAGAAAGCAGGCTATTAGCTTAATTCTAAAAAGCAAATTCAGTCCATGAACAATGCTGACAGTAATTCCACATCCCAAATATCATCACATATCAAACCCGGGTTAAAAAAAGGGATAAAATTGTGAATATAACAGTTTGTAATTCAATATAATAATTTATATTACAAAAATTATTTATATGACCATTTTGGTCATACCAACCATTTCCAAGGGTGGCATATTATAGGCAATATTCTTTAATGTTAAGAATTTTCCAAAGGCTTAAATTAATAGGATTGCTTAAGCATAACTAGAAATATCTTACAAACCAAGGTTTAAATTGTGAAAGGCCATCAGAAATGGTTCAGTGGGTCTATTCAAACTATTGTGTAATAATCTTATCTGTTATATATGCTTTCCCCCCATCTTTTGCTTATTTACATTAGCTGTCTGGCTGTAATTGGACTTAAACTTTTCAGTTTCAATGAAGCCTTATGTAAGAAAACTGATTATAATGGGAAAAAAGCCCTCACAAAAGCAGTACGTAAAAACCAACCAGTATTAATTGTACATATAATTATCTTCTCTTTTAGCCTAGGATGTAGTCCTGGCACTTGTGTTAACTCAAATCTGTATGGGATTGTCATTTGATTTACAGCAGATGACTTAGCATCATATGAAAATAATTTACTGTGCCATGTGTCTCATGCCATGTAAATCAATAGCTTGAATATAGAGACATCTCAATTAGCGCAAGCAGAGCAAGATATGCCTACTACTTTCATATGTCATTAAAACAGCAAGTATTACAAGGTAGTGCTTATTTTAAAGTCACTTTGGAGGGAGGACCTATGATTTTAAATTGGTTGAGAGATATAAAGTGAGAGTGACCATCAAACTGAATGAAAAATTGAGCATAAGGTGGTACAAGTAATAGCCTGTGAGGGGTGGGACAGGCACTTGTTACAGTATTGATTGGTGCATTTCTATAGCACCTGGGTATCATCATGGGCTGGAGGACAGCGTGTTAAATTATGATGCTGAACACACAGGAGTCATCCATCCTTCCTGCCCTGTTCCTCCAAGAAGCCCCTGAACCAAGTTGCAAGCATGCATGCTATTAGCCACAATGAGGTAAATAATCTGGAAGCTAAACTTTGGTCTTCTCTGCAAAACATCTAAAATTTAAGTTAATATTATAAAGCTTCATAATGAAGAAGCTACATTATTCATCACCAGTCACACAGCTATCGAATCTCAGTGATAAGTTAAAGACAAGACCTACACAGTTTGCTCATGAAGATTTTAGGGCAACTTCTCAAATGTGATATTGTCCGGGATAACCTCATGAGAGAAAAAGAAAACAAGTTTATTTTCCTGATTTTGTAAATGGTGAAGTACAAAAATGAAAGCAGATTGTCCCTCACAAGGTGCCTATATTTGGTTCCAGTTTGTGGGTTTCCCCCTCCCCACCCCATGGAACTGAACAGATTTTAACCTAATAGGTTGAACTGTCATCTGGCCCCATATTAACTGTAATTGGAAGCTGAAAGACTCTGACTGTGCTGGGATTAAATCTAAGAAGAGCTACTTTTTCAGAATCCTAGCTTTCAAACTGTAGTGATGTCTTTTTAAAGGAAAGGAACTCACTGATTTTTTTTTTTTTTTAACTAGGCCTAAATGTTTCCTCTAAGGAGTAAGAGGTCACTGAATGATTAGATTCACATTTTATCTTAAAACAGGATTGTAATGATCAGTGAAATCTCATCCTCCTGGCTGGCCTTTCACAAGACATGCCTACAGCCCACAAGGCAACCCCAATTCACTGAAAGATGCCGTGGGAGCCATCAGGGAAGAAAAGACAACCAGCCTCAATGGAGCCCAGACCATGTCTGGCGCAAACACCAAGTTTCAGAAAATTGGTCCAGATGCAATAGGATAGCTTGGCCGGAACAGAAGGTATACACTGTTGGGAAATCAGCTCGTCAAAACTCAACAGAAATTGCACAAGGGACATGCAATCCAACCTGTTACTGGTGCAGGGAGGGAGGCAACCCAGAAAGCAAACAGGCTCAGCTCCAAACCGTACCTGGAGAACTGGTGCTGCAGGCCACGCATCTGAATTCTGTTGCGCTCAGACTCCAGGGTCACCTCCTGCAACCGCTTCTCGCTTTGAAGACGTAAGTGTCTCTCCTCTTCCAGTTCATGTATCAGCTTCTCATGCTATGGGAGGCACAAAGAGAATGGCTTTTAAGGTGTTTATGACAAAAAAATAAGTAATAGCTGTTTGTTTCTAAGTGCTAACTTGAGCTGTATATATAAATTTTATCCTTATAACGACCCCACGAAGTAGGCTTTATTATTAATCTCTTGTCATAGATAAGGAAACCAAGAATCAGAGATATCTAAGTAATTTGTGCAAGACGATATAAACCAGAGGGTAACAAACTTTGAGTCCTGACTGTCTTGATTCTAATACTTGAAAAATTTCCACTAACCCAGGTGGCTTTTGGTGAAGAACCTATGACCCAAAGATACTATGACTTACTATCAACTGCATAGTAAGTCAGATAATAATAATAACATCATTATTATCTGTTCAGAATCATTTCATTTTCTCCATGTCTGGCATATGCTTTAAAGGGAACATTATTGTTTTTGTAGAAGAACCAAGAATTTCAAGCTAATTAAACCATGGAGTTGATAGGAATAAGGCTAAAGATTCGTTTCCATTTTGTCCAGTTAGGTTTTCAGAGACAAAAATAGGCCAAACCACTGTTTTTATAATCCTAGAAAACTAGCTCATCTCATGACTGGGCATCAGGGATTGGAACAGGGACTGGATGACCCAGAATAGAAAGTTCAGCACAAACTCATTCCTAGAACTAGTGAAAAGCACACTGCTCAGATCCTCTTGATAACAATGTCTTTTTTGTTTTATTGTTGCTATTGCCTTTTTTTTTTTTCAGGGATGCAATGCTATTAGGATTATCACCACTACTAAATTAATTACTTTGCATGTAGGATGTATGTTGTATGGTGAAAACCAAGGATGCAATGCCTGATCACAAGGGTCATGCATTCATAAAGGAAAAGGAAAGAAGACCTCTATCAAGAAATTGCACAGGCCAATTTGTTTTTGATAACAAAAACAAATTTTCTCCATCTCTCTCTAACTCATTGGAAAAAAGGAACCCTGAGGACAATGAAGGAAACATTAGATAACAATCTAGAAATGAATCCTAATCCTCTAAAAATATTTACACATCCCTCTGCCTCTGCACCTTTGACCACGCTGTTGCTCCTGCATAGAAATCTCTCTGAGTCTCCCTATGGAAGGTCGAGGGCTCCTCCCTTGCTCAGCTTTAAGCCATGTCCTCTAAAACTTACCCCTCACCACCCTGTCACTCTCTCCCTTCCCTGAGCTCCAACAGCACCTACTATCTCTGCCGCCCTTTAGGTCCTTACTTTTTTCTATTGTTATTTTTCATGTGTATTTATCATAATTCTCCAATGGATAAACACCTGTTCAACATTAGGACTATGTCTCATGTACAAACGTATTTTTAGCACATTATCTACTACATGGTGGTACTGGAAATATATACATTTGTTGATTCTGGAGCTGGCCTTTTGCTAAGTCAGGCCTAACTCTTTAATGGTCCATTTTTAACCCCCACAGTCAGTTACTTTTATTGAAAGAAGAAAAATTAAAATCAAATCTTTATTCTGCTATTTTGGAAAGTGACATCCTGGAAGCTTTGAAAAGGAAGAAAAATGTGGTTGTGGAAAAGAAATGTGCTAATTAAAGTCAGCTCTCTGTAAAAATGATTAAAATGGCAAATTTTATATTATATATATATTTTACCTCAATTAAAAAAAACCCTCATTGCTTAGTTTATTACACATAATCAACATTCCTGTCTTATAGACTCAATGGACTAGAAGGAACATGGGCAAGTCACCTATATCTTACAGAATTTGGAAAATTGAGCTTTAATTCCATAAACAGGCAAAGCAAAAAGGCATATGTTCTATAGCTCAAAGTACATGCTATGAAGAATGTGAAGTTTTTGCAGAGAGAACCACCACCCTCCTTTCTTCAAAAGTAAAGAATCTAACATAGATTCACTCACTGCTACATTGAAAACTCCCCTAAATCTCATGAGGAGAAACTCTTTCACATGAATAATAACCCTTTCTGTTCTATTTGTAGATACCTTTTCAAACATGAAAAAAAAAAAGCACAAAAAAACCACCCTCCTAATACAGAGAAAGCTCTATGGAATTAAGATTATGAGGGCAAAAGTTGTTTACTAAAATATATTCCCTACAAATGGTGTGTGTTTCAATTAATCCATCAAAGTATGACAATAATCCACACCTATTTTCCAAATATGGAAAAGTTTTTTACCCAATTTAAAAAACATGGCTAAAAGTAGAAAGAGTAGGAAGAGATGTTATCAGTAGGTTGGTTAGGGGTTTTTTGTATGTTTGTTTTTGTATTAGCTAAAACATGGTTAAAAGTGGAAAGAGACGGTAACAGTAGATTAGATGGATTTTTTTGGTATTAGTTATATCCTGGGTATAAATTGATTTTCCCTAAAGTGATGTGATTTTTCTCCTACAGGTTTGCTCTGGATCTTTCACAGCAGGGAGAGTAAAAGGGAATCAGAATGGCTGGTGAGTAAGTAAAAGACAATGTCAGAGGAAACCAGCTTATAGATCTGACAGGGCCAAATTTCTAGAGCCACCTCTCTCTTTCCATAGAACCACTGGGCTGGACTGGCTTAAAGAAACCATCTTAGAAGAGCTCTCATAGTGTTTTTCCTTGGCCACCACCTTTCTTTTCCTCCCACTTTCATGTAGCAAGATCGCCTCTGCCCTTTCTGCTCCTTGGCTTCTCCAACCATTGCACTCAACTTGCTCCACTGGTAACACAAACAATGGCCCATGGGCTGAGTCAAAGGAGTGACATTACACACATGTTCACAGGAAACCTGGCCACTCACATTTTCTTCTTTCCCTCTTCCGACATGAGCTTTGCTCTTAGTCAAAAAGTAGCTTTGTGTATTTTTCTGCACAAAAACTGTGAGTGGGTTAACTTTCAACTCTATGTTCTTGAGCTGCTGTCTCTAACTCTAAAATAAGCAAGCTCTGCAAGAAACATCTTGAATTCGAGAGCATTTTACATTTTTACAAAATGTTTCCACCTTCATTACAGTATCCAGTCCTCAAACCAACTCAGCAATGTTGTTTATTATCACCTCCATTTAAAGATAAAGTGAGGGGAGGAAAGGGAGGGAGGGAGGGAGTGAGGGAGGGAGGGAAAGAGGAAGCTTGCTCAGATTCCACTGTTAGAAAGAAATAGCAGCTCCAGAACCGGAACTAAGTTTTCCTGACCCTGAGCACCACCCCCCACAAACTTTTTTCCCTTCTATCAGTTCTGCTATAACACTTCTTTTTAAAGTGCAAATTTGCTCCAATGCAAATGATATATTAGGAAAGAATTTGAGCATGAGACAAATCTTACATTTGCTTATGCCTGACCCTATTCATGAGAAAACTTGGGTGAACACAGAAAACTGGACTGAGCTGAACCAAGCTGCATGGTAACACCCAAAACACACACCTTTCAAATATACCTCAGTGTGTAGGCACCATGTGCATCAGGAACCAAACCCACCCATCAGGTGTTACAGCTTTCCCTCCTATTTCAGGACTCCAGAGAGCATCCCTTCTACCACTTCACAATAACTTATAAGCAGCACCTCTTTTGACGTCCACTCTCACAAGAAACTGCAGATCTTTTTAAGGTAGAGTGCTATCTTATTATAGCATTTATGTATTTCTTAACCATTTAACACATGTAAATCTTAGCTACCACTTTTATTAGGTTCCTATCTTTTCTTCTGAGTATGTCACTGACAAAGTTTTGAGTATTGTGCTCCTAGTCCCATTTCTATAAGCCCTAAGCCCTGTGGTTTCTATTGTGTGTTTTTGCAGAATGCAATGATTTTTAGGAACATACATGTTATAGCAGGGGTGATTATGTATCATGGTGGAAAAAAAGAAGTCAGAGTCAAGAGTAGAATCCAAATTACTTTTCCTATCTGGGCACAAGCAAAGAGTTGAGTCCTAGACAAAGAATCAAACATCCAAACCAAAAGAAAGTTATGTTAAGTCCAGATATTTGTTCTACATAAAGATCTTGTCTGTATCTTATAGCCTTCTCTTATCAACAGAGCTTACACTACCTCAGACTTAACTTAGCTATCCTCTGGTTAAAACTCAAGGGAAGGAGATTCCACAGTTTCCCTGGGTAATTTTTTTTTTAACTCTTCTCCTGACAATTTTCTAAGACTTGCTTAAATTACTCAAATATCAAAAGTTCATTGCTATATTTATGTTCTCAGGAAATGGAGAAAAATCTATATAAATTCTGAATATTCCCTAATTTAATAGATAACTGTGCTTGGAAAAGGAGCTATGTACCACCAGCACATGTACTCATGGATTCACTCGGCCCAAAATGCTTATTTAGCAGCTACTGGACTAGAGCTGGAGACTGGCACTGAGCTGAACAGGCATGGTCCTGACCTCGTTAGACTTACACACTAGTGGAGAGGGCAGGTTGCTAAACAAACCATCACACAGATAAATACATCAGCATAAACGGATGGGTAATTAAGGGTTTGCTGAACGATGACAACGAGAGGAGATGATTTTGTTTGGTGGGTCAGGGAAAGGCTTCTCTGAGGAAAAAACATTTACACTGAGACCTCTGTGGTGTCCAGGTGTCACCAGGTGAAGGGAGGAAACCAGCGCTCTGGGCAAAGCAACCAGCAAGCAGGAAGCCCGCTGTCACATGAAGGAAGGAAGAAGAGAAGCCCAGCGTGGCTGCAGCCTGGTGAGCGAGGGGGTGGGCGTGGCATATGATGTAGATGGAAAGGAACCAGAGCTAGGCCATGGAAGGCCACGGACATCACACGCTGGATTTAGGGTTATATCCTGAGTGAAATGATCTGATTGAGATTTTGCAAAGATCATTCTGACCACTGTGTGGAGAAAGATCTGAATCAAGAGGCTAAGTTTCAGCATGGGAACACATTTAAATAAATAAATAAAATATGTAAGTATTTAAAATATTTAAATTAAATAATGCTACTACCAGCTTTTAGTCTGAACTGCACCACTTACTAGGCAAGTAGTTTTTGGATAAG